ACTGGCGCTCAAGTACTTGAACCAGCATGAATCTCAGGGTAGAGCAAACACTTCTTCACCAGCCTCACCTATGAATGTGCATGTTTTCCTCCGTCTCAAAGTGATGTTTGTCAGAAGTCATGAAGGTTACGGGACTGCTGATGGCAAACAGGAAGCAGGAAAGCTCAAGCAGTCACAGGGTCTGCCACAGCCACATCTTGTGAGTGCAGTAATGGGATTTCAGCCACTGCCTGGCAGGGGCACTGAGAGAAACTCCCACCCATTTCACAGTATTCTTCTATATACAGCCCTCTCTATATGGGCAGCAAGTTCACAGCTGAACAAGTCCTGGGCTATATGTTTTCAAATCTTAATGACAGAACAAAAGACAAAGTTTGCTAATCATGTTCCCAGTGTGGCTTTCAATGGGGTTTTGTATACCATCAAATCAAGAACTTAACATGCTGGCTGGCTACTCCCACCTACATGGAAGCCAAGGAAATTATTAAAAGGTAAAGAGTAGTGTAACTCCTTCCGATCACAGATACTAAATAGGAGGTAGTCTCCCCATCTTGGTGATCAAGAAGAGCACAACTTTTTTACCAGCATTATTACAAAAAAACCAGTTAATTTTCTAGAAGAAATCAAGGCTTACACAATGACACTTTAGTTAAAAAAAGGGTTAAGCTTCTCAAACCAGTCGAATAATATGGAAATAGTTACACAGCCTTCATAGACTCCTCTAATTCCTTTTTGGGACTAAACAGATATGTATTTGTAATAAACCCTAATTAAAAAAAAAGCAAAACAACAAGCCCACAAAGAAAAGCCCCAGCCCCCACTCCCCCCAAACCTATGAATAAAAAACACATTTTCAGAAGCAGATCTCATCCTATTTTATCTCCTTGTACAAAAGTATTTCAGTCTCAATTTTTTTCAGTCCTGCCCGCAATCTCCTTCCCCTCACCCACGCCTTCTTTTCAAACCAAATGAGCCTGTCCATGTTTCTATCCTCTGGAACAGAATTAAAGTTTCACACTGAGCCTGTTGCCTTGTTCACAGTAGCAGATGATCTGTTTGAAAGCTGTTCATTCAGCTCTGGGCAAGGCAAATTCGCCATGGAGTTTTCTTCAACCCACCATCTCCTTTAGGTAACAGGAACTGGAGGAAACCTGCCCTCAGCACTCAGTACAGCTCCCAGCAACTAACTTTTCTACAATACTTAATAAAGCATCCTTTTCAAAGCATGTGTTATGTTGACATCAAATTATATATATATATATATATATATATATATATATATATATATATATATATATATATAGTCATCCACCAACTCAGACAAAGGTGATAGGTGTTACAAAGACTAATGGTAAATCAGAATTCTATGCCTTACCAAATATTTTAAAAGGTACAGAGCTTCTTTTAAAAATAATTTTAAAGGTTTTCCTATTGCTTTTTGCTAAGATCACCTGCTCTGCAGATTTTCAGCTTCTGTTGAGAGACTGGAACAGGTTCTCTGCCAACACAATGTAGCAATAAGCAACAACAGATTCACTTCAGTGTTAAGTATCAGGTTCATCTAATTCATTTAATAACATTTTCTGCTGGAAGCTATGCTACAGCCACCAGATCCAGAAGATTGTTTCAAAACAGAATCCCTGTGGCCTGTATTTTTGCAATCCACTTGTAGTCCATATCCAGCGGCTTTACTCTTCAAGTCTTCTTTTGATGGCACTTGGCTTTAAGCAGATGCTCTTTATGTTGAAGGCCAGCCACATGCATGAGTCATGCCACTGCAGTGGATAATACAAGCCTTGTTCCAAATACTTTGTAAGGAAAAAAAGACACTTTGAAAGTAAGTGTAAGCAAGGTAGGATCAGAAAGATATGAAATTATTCAGGACCATCTCAGTCAGTTGTTTGATCAAAAACCAGTAGATGTGAAAAGGGCACGATGGGACAGCCTCCAGCACCTGTTGCCTCTCCAGCACACTCCAATTTTTCTCTCTAGTCCCATGCATTGACAACCCAAGGGCAGTAATTCCTTAAATGATGGATACTGATAAATCTGGAGTGTTCTGCATCAGCTGAGCTATAGACCCACCACTTTGCATTCAGGTATTAATCGGTGTCATTGCTTCTCCACAACCTAAAGGAGCTCCTCCTTCCTCAGAGCTGTGTGTTTGGCACTTTCTATTTTTGATTGACTGGAAAAAAGGTCAATTAGATATAAATGGTCCACCCTTGCTTATTCCTGCTCTAAATTACTTAGCATAACTATTCACTAGTCTTGCAAGAGCCATTTTAAGTTTGAACTTCTGAGGTTTCCTGCTTTAAAGATAACTTTAACAACCCCTAGCATCCCTCCTTCTGTGGCAGAGCTGAATGAAAGACCAGGGCACTGCTTTCTCAGGAAATTATCAGGTTTGCTCTACCCCATCATCTCCAGTCCCCACTTCTGCAAGCAAGCAGTAGTGCCTGCTCTGCCCACATTTCTTCTCTGCTGCCATTGCCTGCTCACTCAGGGCTGTGAGGCTGGCAGGGAGCCCAACCAGCTCTGTGTCTCTGATTCCTTGAGTGCCAAAGGTGGGAATATACACCTTCTCAAGGGCAGTGGTGGCCAGCCAGGGTCTTCTTGGTGCCCTCCCTCGGCTGACCTTTAGGTCTGTATGACCTGCTCTGCACTGCCGGCTGAGATGACCTCTCGGGGCTTTGCAACTGCTACAGGTCACCAATTCCTGGCTGGCATCCCCACCCCAGTACACACGTGTCGAGAAAGGCACCACTTGTTCCAACAGCCAGAAGTCCCCCAAGGGCTCTCTCCCCACCACCACTTGCCCTACTGCAGGGTTGACCCTTTGACAGATCACTGTGAGCAGCACTGAACAAGCCCTTGGCTCACAGGACTCCCTCGGAGGCAGATGCCACACTGGAGCCTGGCTCTGCTGCTCCCTCTGCCACAGCCTGAGCAAGAAGGAAGCCAACCCATACTTTTAGCACCTTAAGACAACTCCAAATATGAAAATATGGATTTTGAAGGCCACTGAGTTCTATTTCCACCCTACTCTGAGTTTTCAGTAAGACGGATGAGCCTCATGCTGCTCTGCAGAGGTTATCCTCACCTGAAGCAGGCAGGGTTGGTTCAGAGGGTACTGAATCAGTTGTGTTTGACAGAGGAGCCCAACTCCACTGTTAACTGTGGTTCTTTGATTTGCTTATGTAGCAATCAGTTTAAACCTGCATTTTTTACTTGTCTCAAGCAGAGTCTCAGAAATGCAAGCACATTGCACTAAGGCACAAAAAATGCAAGCAAAGGTAAAACAGTTCAGTGTTGTTTAACACATGTAAGTTCAATAAAAAGGCAGCTGCCTTACTGTGTAGGGGGACACTAATGCACTGTCTGCAGGGACTGAATTCCCATAGAGTCCAGGCAGCCTAAATGCCTGTTGCAGCCAAACAAGCTTCCTGCAGTCACACCAAGATGCCCTCTGATCAAAGTTCTACAGCAATCCTGGCTGCTGGTTTGGCCTCTGCCTTTCTACCGAGACCACCAGCAAGAAAGCAAATGGGTGTTCTGCTTTGGTACATTGCTAGGAACAGCACCAGCAAGATAGAGGAAGAAAAAAAAACAGACTGCAGCCTATCCTTGAGAATTATGCAAGAAGAGAGGTACACGATGAGCTTTTCCCACAGCAAAGGTTCCAGCTATGATTGCAAAACCTCAGCAATCACGCAGGGACTCTTCCATGAGGTCTCCTAGGGTCACTATTCACTTCAAAGTCAGCAGAAAGGTGGCACAGCAAGAATTCTGCCATAACTGGCTGCAGAGAAAGCTCTCTAGGGAAAGCCAGAATGCTGCAGCCATCACTGCCAGCACTGTCTGAATTTACAGACCAGGATGCCATGAGGATCCATGGCTGGCTGTGTCATGGCTCACTGGGTGTGAGTATGGGCCCAGCTTCCCACGTGGCTCATGCTGGTTTCAGGACAGTTTGGACATCTATTTTTCCATGCTTGTCCTTCTCTTCCCCCTTTCTTCCCAAACCTGAGTTTTACCACCTGGCAAAAAAATGGCTCACTCCAAACTTGAGACAGAGTGGGATCCAACATACAGAGACAACATGCCCATATAAAGACACCTTTTGTGATAAATTGACATAAGCTTAGGTACAGACTAATATAGGCCAGACTAGTTCTCTTTCAAACTACAGTGTTTTTTTAAAAAAAAACCAAAAAAACCAAAAACAACCAAGAAACAACAACCAACAACCTGATCTTTATCTAAAACTCCTCAGTCATAGAATTTACTGCAAGCATTTGTAAAATTTACCTTCACTCTATGGTGCTTTATTTGAAATGAAAATGTAGCCATGTTTTCAAGCCCATTTGGTGGAATTTTTTTTACACTGAAGCAGATATTCCTCTGGTAATTGTAGCCTTGTGGAAACCATGTATCTTGTTTAGACTAGTCGCCCAGTTTCTATCTACAGAGCGATATGCACTTCCTAACGCAGTAATCTATCCAAAAGGATATCTTTGTGAGAGCAACCCTCTTTCCATTGACTATGAAGGAAAGTTGGTCAATTTAGATTAAGGGACTACACTTTACATATCTAACATCATGTGAGACTAGTCCCTCTCCTTATTGAAGCTTTGCTATCGAGTTCCTTTTACCATGTAGACCTTTCCCACAATATAAACTCATCATTTAATATTACTTTCACATAGACTGCAGGCTCTAATATATCAAGATTAATTTTTAACAGTTATTAAGCAACCAGAAGTGAAATTATTTTAAGAACTCTTGAGATTAATTTCCTTACACTCTTTATGACATTCATTCTTTGTTTCCTCTTGCAATAATTTAAGAGACAAACCACTGCTGGGAACAGTACGTGTCCCTCCACCCCCTCCAGCTGACAAAAATTGGCAGAGTTCAAGAGAAATCTCAGCAAATGGGAGAGAAAAAAATTCACAAAGAGCAATCACTACAGATATTGAGATTTATTGCTGATTTTCCCTTTCTGCAAAGCTGTCAAACTGCCAGAGTTCCAGAAGGGGATTATCTCCACAAGCCCCTTGGCCTCAGTCCCTGTACCCATTCAGACAACATCACTAGAGACCTGTGTGTGGCAGCTTGCTGCTTACAGCATAGTTGGAGGCAAAATCCGTCCTTCCAGATCCTGAATTTATGGCAGGGTCTGGGCTCTGACATTGTTTGGTATGACCTGCTGTCTGCTTCAAACAAAAAAAAAACCACTGGAGGCATCCAGTGGGGAATGCTGCGTTTCCTGAGTTTAGTTCCCTGTGCAAGAAGCTGCTACTGAGTGGTGCTCACACGGAGCCATCAGCATGAGACAGTGCAGTTTTTCTTTTACCACACCAATCTGATATAGTTTGTCTTGTGCTTTGAGGTAAAGGCTCCTTAGCATCTTTGCCAACTATGCTGCTCCTTTACCAGCACTATTAACAGCATAGGTTATTTTCTTAATTAAAAAAAAAAAACAAACAAAAACAATAGATCCCTTTCCTCATGTTTGGTTGCACTTCTTCATTCCTGCTGCCGCTTTTTTTTCATGATAGTGTCTCTAGGCTGCAAGTCAGCTCTTTTCCAGCTGGTGAGATCTGGTTCCTCTTTATGTGCCTGTCCTTTCACTGTAAACAAGTAATGCTTCTCCAACTCCACCAATCACAAGGCTGTAAACAAAGCATATCAAAAATTTAGCATCATGTAGGTCCTTCTACTTGATACAAAATTATATTATTTTATCTAAACACATTCCAACCTAGAGACAGTAACCCAGGTGTTTTTTTTCATTTGTCTCGCAAAGAAAATTCTGTAACCCAAAATATCTTATTTAAATGATCTCATCAGAAACTACCTTTCCTGTGTTTTAGGGTTGGTGGTATTCAGTAAAAATGCACAGACAGGAATCTAAATGGAGAAGGTTGCCCCTAGTTACAAGAATAGCTGCACACTCCTACACTAGCAAGAATAGGAAAGGAAGGCAAAAGAGTTTGAACCTTATTAGCCTAATGATTGTTTCTTGCAATTTCTGCTTGTGTTCTGTTGTGAAAACTTGCCACTTGACAACATCAGGAAGAGATGTAAAGCCTAGGTTTTGTGGACAAGGCGAAATCTGGGAAAACCTTTTTTGCACTGGGGTGATCCCATTGGTATAGTGAGGCCAGCAGAAATTCTTGTGTTTGCCTCTCTTGGTGAGGTGAAAGGAGGTGCCCCAGCCAAAAAGGCACTCATGGGCCCAAGCACTTTTTTCCTGTCCTGCACACAGCACAGCTGTGGCACTAAGGCTGCTCCCCAATAGTCAGCCTAAGAGCAGGGCTCCAAGTCAGGATGAATGGTTTTACAAAAACCTTCACTGAAATATGCTATCAACCCACTCAATGCATGCAATAGTTAACAATCCCCAAGTCTGCTCTGTTATCTGTCACAGATGACAGGAATATGGTAAGATGCTGACTCTTCTCCCCTTTTATAACAGTGCAAAGCTAAGTGTACTGACCTTTCATCTTAGCCCCATGGCTTAATTAGCTTATGAAACAGAAAAGCTCCTTACTGAACTTTATAAACAAAACAAACTTCTGTTAAGTTCATTTCTAAGAGTACTCTTTTTTTTTTTTTTTCCCTTACAGAAAAAAAGCATGTAAAGCTGAAGGCTCTTTAGTCTAATAGCATTACATTCACTTAAATCTTAGCTTTGCTGAGCTGTTTTAAAAAAAAACATAACTGCCCTTGTTCCTGAGAGGAAAAAATATTGTATAACAACAGCACAACATCTAACAATTACCAATTACACAGTAAACAGCCCTGGAAAGTAGGTGCTACAGTCTGTGGTGGTCCACAGAATAGCTTTGGTGTGGAATTACCAACAAGGAGCAAAAGTCTGCAAGCTTTTCAAAAAGGGTCTAAACCACTGAGTCTGGTCACCTACAATTGGTAACAACTTCTGAGTGCTTTTTTTCTGGAGAGGGGTAACCCCCATTTCTTATTTCAGCTCCAGTTATAAACACACCCTATGCATCAATTCCTTTGGAAGCTAAGCTTTGATAATATATCCTTTGTCTTAAAAAAAAACCCAAGCCCCATAACACTGCATACAGAAGACCTAAAATCAACAAAGCCTTAGAAATTTTTTCCTGTTTCTATAGATGTGTTGTTTTCTAAATTTTTAACAGAGACTTTCAAAAAGAAACCGTTCTAAAAAGTCAGACTAGAAATTACAAAATACAGCAAACTTCCCAGCCTTGTTCTGCAAAAAGATGCCTGCACCTGAGCTGTTCTTTACTATCATATATCTTACATCACACAAAGAACCCCTTTCTGAAGGATTTGAAATCTTGGGCATCCACATGCCTGTGCAGTCCAAATTACTAGGCAAATGGAATCCATTGTTATATCTTCAAGATGAAGCAGAGCAAAAAATCATGGCTAAATGCCAACCCTTGATATTACCTTCAATTTACCATCTGGTAAATCCTCCAGCTTCTGTTTATAGTGGGGTGACAGCTAACTGCACTTGCCCATCATTCAAAAATTAACCTATAATATTTGCCATGACCACATTGGAGCAATACAAAAATCCTCAGTGATTAATGTTCTCATGAGTGCTTTGCAGCTGCTATCATTCAACAAACTATTTCCAGAGCTTTGCTGATAAGCCAAGGCACTGCCAATGCACAAGCACTGACATAATAAAAAAAATTATATTGTTTTCTTTTTGAATTATGACATTCAAAGTGTAACAGTGGCCAAGGGCTAAAGCAAAATACCTTTTAAACATACAGATAAGTTCATCATGTATAGAAGTTTCAGACCATATAGGGCAGGTGACATTGTTCAACTATATGGGTCTGTGTGCTCACATTAACAAAGGTACACATTAATTTTTAGTGCACATGTCAGTGAATACAGACGTATAATCAAAGCCTGACTCTAGCACACACATGACAGACCTGCACAAAACATGGTGAAGAGCAGCAAGTTAATGGCCTAGACTAGGAGTGCTTTGTATATTCTTTGATATTGGTTACATCTCTGACATGCACAGGCTGCGTGTATTTCCTAGAACTAAAAAAATGCACAGCTTACTTTAGCATTTGAGATTACCTGTGCGTAAAATACAGATAGGAATGCATATTCACACATAAGTAAATGGGGCCAATCTGAACTGGGGATTCTCCTTTCTATAAGGCTCTTTTCACACCTGAAGAAAGGAAATGTTAATTCCATTCAGTGCAGAGCTGAATCTTTAGGATGGCAATCAAACTGAATGAATCATGAATCAAATGGAAAAAGGGAAGCTTAAAGCTTTTCAAAAGTAAGTAGATTTTTATTTCCATTAACAAATCTGTCCTCAGAAACACATGTCTAACCCCACATTGAGATGTTATTTGCATGGCAGAATCACTTAGGTTCACCAGCCATGTTCTGTGATTCCCTTTCACTGTGTGCCATACAAAATAGATCAAAAACACTGCCTTTGACCGAAGGAGCTTGAACCCAAATCCTTTATACTACTACCTAAAAAATTCAGGTTAGGTGATTTGTACTGTGTGGCCATACATTACAAAATCCAGATACAGCTTTGGGGAAAGTTTATTATCATTATTTTTCTCCAGTGTCATTTTATGCATCCACAGCGCACAGTGTGTTGGGAAACTTGAATGCACCCTCTTGGTTAAAAAGATGCTGTCACCAAACCTTGACTCCTGTGTTTTACTTCCAGTTCAGCCACTAAATTGCAGCATGACTTTGAATAGGTCATTTATTTGCCTGTTGGATCCATTTGTCTCACTGTAAAATATGCTGAGTGAATTGTGGTGAAACTTAATGTCCAAAATGTCCATGTTCTCCCACAGAGGCAGAAGAAACACTCTTCTATTACTTTCCTGAATCCATCATTGCACACCTGGTTCTCCTTACATGCAAGATAATACTGACAGCAATAGAACTTGACATTTAAAAATATTTCCACATGAAGAACTGTGTGAGAATTCATCTTTACTCTTAAGCAAAAAGCTCATGTAGACACTTACCAAGAAATTGTTAGTACATTGGCAGTCATGACAAAGAAGAACGGTGATAAGCCAGCAGTGATAACCTGTTAAATTGAAAAGAAGGAAAAAACACTTTATGAACTTGTGATATCACAAATGAAAACTAAAATACTTCTGCTGAAATTTAATTTCCATGTGTGCAGTCATATCTTCTTCTTTTAGTTGGAGAAGATAGTATGATAGTCACACATCACAATTTGATGTTGACTCTGACAGAACCTGGGACACAGAAGAGGCAGGGCAGGGAACCAGAGCAGAGGACCCCTTGTCACATATCCTAGCTGTCCTGGCCTAGAAGTCTGCTGGCTTTTACTTGTCGACAGCAGACTGGGGAGAGCAGTTGGATCCTGGGTTTGGAAAGCCTTGCGTTTCTGAGGAGAACAAGAGCTTGAAATGTGTTTATAGGTGTATGAAAACCAAACAAAAATTAACAGGGTGTAGGGTTAAGAGAAACAATACAACTTCAGTAGGTTTATGTTGCAAATCTCACATTCCCCCCATGTATCCTGGGTAGAGAAACTGGGTAGAGAGACAAATGACTTTATACTTTCTGAGTACTGATCCTAGTAACAGCTAAATCCTGACATACAATAGTTTGTAACAGATCCCTGCCTCAGCAGCTATGGAGCTACCACATCTGCAGCCTGCGTGCAGTTTTGGATGTTTTGCTGCCAGATGGATAATGTAAAATGGAAAGAGTTCAAAGAACAGTGACAGAGTCATTAGATGGGGGGATTGATTTTCAGTCAACAGTTAGGATAAGCAATGCCTGTGGGAAAGGAAGGCTTGGTAGTGGTTTACAAAAACTTGGGAAACACAAGCACTGAAGAATGAAAGGAACTGTTTAGGTTAATACAAAATTGCCCAAGGAAAAATATAAAATTAAGAAACAAAACATTTAAACAATTATCAGCTAAGATTTCCTAATCATTGTTTGCTTTAGTTGACTCCCAGGGGAGACAGCAGAAACTTCATTCTGTAATCTATTACTTGTTAAAGCATTACTACAGGTGCAGCAGGGAAGCAAATGCCATTTCAGAGTAGATTCTGTGCACCAGAGCTTGGACTAAGACTGTGTTAGTCAATACTTGCTACATTTGTTATGGCCACATCTTAAAAGGTAGGCTCTGAATCTGCCTGGAGTGTAATCAGTGCAGGATCACATGCAAGAATGGCAGACAAAGAAGAGAAGGTTGTGTGTCCTCTCTCCAGTCCCATTCTATGAGTTAGGCAGAGAGGTGACAATAATCTAAATGCAGCAGTTGAGACCATGCGATGGCAGAGGAGCAAAGGTGTTCAGTGGGGACTACACAAGGAGTACCTTCTCTGGCCTCTTTGGGGACGTTTTCTACTTTAGAGAGATTCAGGCATGCAGGTGGCTTTTTTCTTCTTAGACATTACCATAACTCACACCATGACTGTTCTCCATGTGCCTATAGCCCAGGCCCCTCCCTGTCAGAGGAAATGAGGCATGAGATGGACTTGATCCAGGCAGGATCAACACATGACTGCAGACCCAATCAATCCCTGCTCAGCAACCAAATTGCTGGTACCAATACAGCCACGGACACACCTCCTGATACAAACTTCATCTGACTTCAGTGTTTTCACACTGTCAGCCACAGCAGTGTCCTACGCAGGCAGTGCTGAATAGCTCTAAGCCAACAGAAAAAGTGAGCTCCTACTCCTAGCTAAAATAAAATACATGTAACTACCCCTGTAGCCTTGTATCTATACATGTAAGCAAACATACAACTTAACATGTATACCCGAAAAGGACTGACAGAGGACAAGTCACAAACAGAGAGTTATACTTCAAAATTCAAGATCGTATTGCAACTGTGCATGTTCAGTGGCCTGTCTTATAGTTATTTGCAGCCAGAGAGAACTGACACTTACTCCAAACAGTGGAAGTTAACTATTCAGGAGTGGAATCTTTTATGCACTTTACCTAAAAACCAGCTGCACAGCTGAATATCCATTAGTTCAAAGGGTGCTCTAAAATATGTTTGCATCTTGTTCTAGTGGGCTGGGCTCTCCCCTTACAACGAGTGCAGCAGATGCACTGACCTGCAAGGAACCATTTCTCATTTACTCTGGTGTGAATGCTTGTGGACTTAACTGTACTGAGTTTATTTTAGGTTAATGCTAACTTATTACATAAAAATATACAATACGAATTACAGACCATGTAAACAGAAACTAACGAAAGACGGCAACCGTGGTATGTACAGAGTGTTCTTTTCCTTAAGCTCATCTCCTCAAAGAAACTGAAGTGCTGTATTTGAGAAGTGGCACAAGTTAAAGTCGTGTCACCCACTCCCTTGTTGAGTCCTGTTTATTAGACACTTGAGAAGAGGCCAAGGGCAGAGAAACAGGCATTCAAGAAACCTCCAAAAACAGGCTCTATCAGAAACAATACACCATTCTACTGTGATCATCCCAAACCTCCACAAAAATGCAGGCTGTAGCCTTTTGGACTATTACAGCTGAACACTGTTGTATTTTTGAGAAATTATGTAAGAGTCTCTCAGTGCCAAAGACAAATAAAATGTGGGTTGGAAGAGCGCATGAAGTAAGTGTGTGTAAGGAAAGAAAAAACAAATCACAAACAAACCAAAAGAAAACACATTGCTATAATGTCTACCTTTGGTGGTTTATCTAAAAGAAGAATCTGTTTAAAAATGAAAAACAAGTTATCAGAGAAGCTAACAATGTAATTTTTTCCAGGGGAAGAATTTAAATCCTAGGGACACAGTAGAGAAGGTAATTTTCCTTTAAGTACATTTCAGTATTATCTGAAGTGGTTTAAGTGTGCATTTAGTTTGAAAAAAACAAACCCACCTACACTGATGTTCTGAATGGCCTTTAAAAAAAACAAAACCAACAAAATAAATTCACAACAACCTGAGTGCAGTAATCTCTCTTTCTTCACTTCAAAGGTCAGTTGTCCTCCTAGACATTCAGATGCTTTACTAAAAGGAATGAGCTTTCAAGACAAAAGAAAGCAAGTTAAAGGGCAGACTAAAGTTAATGATTTCCAAATATATTTCAATGCTGAATTTTTAAAACTAGGAGGTGGAAAGGGAAATTTTAATTAGCTATAATATGCCTATTTTGAACAAAGCTTCCCAAGATTTTGACATACAGTCAGTAATTCTATCAAATTATACAGGCTGGATGGTTGAACACCAGCTATTTTGGAAACAGGATTAGCTCCATGGACTCTGCCTACTTTTAAAGGAACTGTGACCAGTCAGTATTATGAAAGCTACTTTAAAAATATTCATAACCTGAAATTTTCTTACAAAATTCTGACACAGTTTTCCATGATTAGGAAAAAATTCAAGCATAGCATAATTAAACAAAACATTTCCATGTGAGCTGAAACTTTTCCTGATAAATCATTTCAAACCCTTCCTTGCATGAAAAATTAAATCAAAACAAAACAAAACAAAACAAAATAACCTCTCCTCAAGATTGTTACTTAAAATAAATCATTCTAAGTTTATTGTGTCATTCCATTGCACTGTGAAAACAGGACACATTTTAAAGGAACACTTCATTAACACCTATTTGCCTTGATTCCTGTTATTTCTGTAGTTCCAATCTCTGAATTATTCACAAGTAATTAAAAAAATTGTCAAAAATCTTGGTTTTTCAAATTATGCTTCGTACCTCGAGCAAAACCAGTTCTAGTTCTGTACAATGTGCATCAGCATTGCAGGAAATAAGTGTATCCTTGTAATGGGATTAGGTCTGAGGAGAGTGGGCTGATCTCCTCCACACAAGAGACTGGTCCTGAACAGTCAGGTAACAAAACATATAAATACTCTGGTATTCTTCATATAAATACTCTAGTACAAGGGCTGAACATGAACCAGGAGATAAAATAGAGAGCAACTCAGCCATTTAGGGGTTTCAAACTTATTGGCTACAGGAGATTTCCAAATGCAGGTCCCCACATAAAAGGTGAAATCTTCAGCTGTCCCCATTATTCTAGGAACTAGAGAGGGGCTCAGGTGCCATAAAACATTTCACACACTGCTTACACTGCCATTCACATTTAACAAGCTTCTATCAAGGACAACACAGCACTCAGCTTCAGGGTTCAAAAAGATTAATTCAATTCCAGCACTCCAGAGTTTGCCCCTTACCAGGCTGAATTATTGACAACTAGAAAAACAGTGGCATCGTTGAAATGCTGGGTAACAGACTAAGATCTATGAAGCAGAAATATCCCAATGTCTGGAAGAACTTGCTGCACAGTAGGGACAAACTCAGCACATAAAATCACCTTTGCACAGGAAAAAAGTAGGCACAGGAAAAAATGTGCTCTGATGCGTCTGCTTTTTCTAAATCTGCTTTAGTGATTCCCGAGTGGAGGGAGGCACAGTTACCTCTAGCTGTAAAGGAACTTTGATAGACAGATGACTGCACAACTTGTGACATGAATAATCTCCTCCTTTCTCCCTACCACTTTATGGCCAGATAAGAAAAAATTTCCAAAGAGAGTACAATTTGTCTCACAAATGTTGGTTTAAGAAAATAGGGGGGGAAATATAATTTTAGAATAAGAGATTAATTTAGTTTACAGATAACAAAGTAAAAAATAAAGATTGGAGAATTTCTTGCTGTAGACCTTAAGAACAAGCAAGATAACTATTGAACCAGTTTCCTGTTAGATGCTTTTCTTGAACATACAACATCAGAAAACTCTGATAAGTCTGACATGTGGCTTGAGGACAGGAGATGGCATCCTAAGGGTTCCTGGTCCTTGGCAATGCACAAATTTGGATCCTCGGAGATAGAGGAATGTAGAACTCTGCATTCTTTTCTGCCTTCTCTACTGACCAGATGTGGTTTTACCATAGCCTCTGGAGTGTCCAATATTGATTGGTTCAAACCAGACATCACTGGCCAGATAAAAGTGTAATTTTTGACCAAGCTATCATGGATTCCTTTCATCCCTGACTTTACAATCACTTCAGAGAAAGATTTTCAGGCTGCAGAAACTGGCTGTAGATTTTGAATATCTAGCATT